AAGAAGACAAGGGAACACACAGCTGAACTTATGAGAGGGCCTTGAGGCCACTGTTCTGACTTTGGTAGCTAGGATAGAGTTGTTCTCTCTACTTGTAAGATTGAGGGAATAGTGCCCATCGTACAAGATTATTGTCTAGATCAAAACTAAGTCTATTTTGGGCTTAGATGAATGACAGAAGAGAATAGATTAGCCAAAATATTAAATGTTCATGCTATTATTGTCATTCTCATCCTCCCCCTCCTCATCAACTTCATCATTATCACATTTCCACTCACTGAGCATAGCCCAAACTATGAGTCTAAAAATTACACTTAACTGTATAGATTTTTGACATCAAATAAAATACAATCCTGATTGACAGAGAGAGAGGGGAGGAGGGCAGGGAGGGAGAGAGATGTCAACTCGGTTTAACACAGCTTCTCAGATACAATTTTGGCACATTAATTCTAAAGGGGCTATAAACTGAATCAATTCTGGCTTTGTTAAAGTCTTTGAAAGCACTGCTACATCCAAGCACTGAGCCAAATGTTTATCTTATAGTAAACAAATGGGGAACATTTTGAAATTCAATATTTGGTATGTTTCTTATTTCTGATTAGTTAGCAGAAAGAATGGACATGATCAATACTTGGGAACCCTGAGTGAAATGTACTTATTTCCCCTGTGAATAGATTTCTTGATACTTGTCCTTCTCTCTCCCGCTGTCTGATCAGGACAGTGGTCTGTGGTCTGGACAAGTGCTGTCACATTCTTAATACTGTCCTGGACCACTGCAACCTCCGGCTCTTGTCCCCCATCATTCACCCGACAGATAGTATGTCTACAAGACCTCTGCCCTATTTGAACCTCCAGTGACTTTCTGTAACAGGATGAAATGCAAACCTTCTCTGTGACTTAGAAAAGCCCTCTGAGCTGGCCTTGGCCAACCCCATCATTCTACTGCTTTCTGCTCATACTATTCCTACTGTCTGAGGAATAGTACTAATTTGCCCTAGAAATAAACTGCAACCCTTTGCTATTCAGGGATTTTGGTGCTTTCTGCTGCTTCTGCACGGAACATTCCTCTTCCAGGTTTTCACATGATTGGCTTATATCTTAAGTCTGCAGATATTGCCTCCTCAAAGAGAACTGTCTCCTCTCCCGTCTAAAGTAGCTCTGCCCTTCTCACTCCAACTGTATTTCATCCACTATGCGCAGCTCAGTTGAAATGTTCTTGAGGATTCTCTGCTTGTATTTTGTCTTGTTGATATGGTGTAGGAACTATTAGGTATTACATACAAACCTTGGGTTTTCTTCACCATTTATTTATGATGCTTAGGTAGTAGTAACTCATTAAACTTCAAGGGGTGAGGACAAATCATTCTAATCTCTGCATGAAGCAGAACATGTGGCTAGGACACCAATGGGCCAAAGTGACTCAAGATCACTGTAAAAGCTTTTAGTTGGTTAGCTGAAGGCATTTCTTTACCTGCCTTTGTTCCTTAGGTCCTCAAATCACTCAGTAGCTCACTTGTTTCTTCTAGCAGGCCTCAAGAAGATAAATTTAGGGTTCACCTGATGCTTCAACAGGAGAAAGTGATCAAAATTTTTATTTTTCTAATATAGATTACCCAATATCAACTTGAAATCTTGAATGGTATATTTACAGCTATCTAGAGAAACATCTTTTGAGAAAATAAACAATTTGAGACTAGATACAAGAGCAACTGAAACACACACACACACACACACACACACACACACACACACACACACTCCCAGTGTACTTACTGATAGAGAATCAAAGTAAATATTGCAGATGCTTTAAATTTTTTTAGAGCAAGTGGAATTGACAGAGGAAGAACAATAAAAATGACCTTGATGAAGCTCAGAGAATCTGGGCTAACCTGTGCCATGTTACTTCTATTCTACCCCAAATAGTAACATGATGGGTTCAATGAAAATTCTGCAATGTGGGTACTAACTAGGGAAGAAGGATGAGGGACTAAGAACAAATTTAAACAGTACTTTTGAAGAAAACACCTTCTCTGTAAATACTTCTTATGGAGTACTTATTATATTCAGACAGGGCATTAATGACTTTATTGTGGATTATTATCTCACTCAGTGGTCATAAAAACCTCTGTGAATGAGTAGTATATTACCATACCACTTTAGAAGGGGAAATGGAAGCAAGGTATCTAATGTAGCTAAAGTCAGAAGTAAATGAGAAACACTAGACTTGGCTTTAGCATTACTTGAAGGCTTCACTATACTGAATACACAAAAACACTATCCTTTCAATTTTGTCTTGTTTCAATGGTTTATTGCTGCCATTTCAGATTTAGATGGGCAACGAACCAGAAAATAAATCTCCCCTTTAAAAGTTACTGCTTTTGCTACTATTTCAACTCTAAAAGTTAATGGTTCATCTTAAAAGTGAAGTCCCTTTTTTGTTCAGATTAATCCTCAGAAGATCTTCAAAGGAATGCTGAATAAATTATGCTATCCTTATTCTTCCTGGTTTTTGGGTGATGGATATCGAACCTAAGACTTTATGCATGCTAAGCACATGCTTGACTTCTGAGCTTTGTGCCAGGTCCTAAATTATGGTACTGCAAGTTCCCCAAAATTCTGAAACAAATAAACCCCATAATCTACATTTCTATGGGCTACCCTGGAATGATGCCCATGTGTTCCACGCAGAGATTCAATGTGACTCCCAGTTGGCAGGTATGGAAAGATGTTCTATCTGTACTTACCAACAACTAACTACTTGGGTGGGGAAATCTATTATTAACTTCTCTCTTATATACTTTTTTTATATGACTTACCACGATAAAAAGGGTCATTTTTTGCATTTTATTTCTCTATATCATCTATTTCTAAATAGTCCTTTGTGTTTGAATGGTTTCTCATACGACATGTTTCTAAACATAACTTTAAAAAGGAAACACTTTTAGCCGGGCATTGGTGGCACACACCTTTAATCCCAGCACTCAGGAGGCAGAGGCAGGTGGATCTCTGTGAGTTCGAGACCAAGCCTGGTTTACCAAGCGAGTTTCAGGACGGCCTCCACAACAATACAGAGAAACTCTGTCTCAAAAAAACAAAAAAAAAAAAGGAAACACTTTTATAATCAAGTGCCACATTTTTATCTGTTCTATGCATTAAGATTATAGTTTATTTCTGTTGAGCTACACACTCCAGTAAAAACAAACTTAAAAACTTTTTTCTTGGCACTGTATTACTTATCCATGTACTCATTAGTTAGCTAGCAAATCTGCCTATTAGGCTTGGGCATTCTGTATATGTACGTGTACAACCACGAAGCTATGTGCATTGCTAATAAAAGGATTTTCATATTACTGAGAAATTCAGGTTGCTCCTTCTTATGAGTGCAGTGCACTCATAATTGGAAGATTTGAACTAAACTCAAATGACTATTCTACTGGTGGCAGACTGGGCAATAATAGTAATTTGTAGTTCACAGATTTGGCAATGAATCAGCAGATGACATAGAGTATATTCATTTGGTATTAAGGCACTTTGAAAGAAAAATTCTAGGAAACAAGTTACAATTTTTATCTATCTGTTAAACGTATACAAAAGGAACTGAATGCAGACAGAACTAGGAAAGAAAATGTCTTCACAACCCTGACATTTCTTTGCTTTTTTTTTTTTTTTTGCTAGAAAGTGTTTACAAAACAAATGAGTGCTTTCACTCTCAAATCCATTTCAGAATAGTCATGGGATGGTTTAATTCAGGCTTTTGCTAAAAATCTAACCCAGGCTCACAAAATTATGCAAGACTCACTATGATTTTTATTCCTGCTCAAACATTGTACTAATTAACTGACTGCATCCCACTATTCCATATCTGGGCTGAGTCCATGAAAACATTGTGGTTAGCATCGTTTGGAGTAAACTAAATTTGATGCAGCAAACATGTACAAAATATTCACTAGAATTCAATACATCCTCTTAGATTTGTAAAGCCATAAATATGTATAAAGGGCACTCTTGGGCTTAACTTTTGTGAGGAAGATACACCCAGAACAATCTTTGATGAAATATAAATATGATTTGGTCTTTATGTAGCTTCAGTAAGAATATCAAGCACAGTGAGCACAGAGTATGGGACTAATGATAGTGAATTCTGGTATGGACTGAGAGAGCCTTCTGGGAAGCTGTGGCTTTTTATTATAAGAGGATTGAAGGACTTGCGGGGTACGGGAGGGGAAACAGAATGTACTGATGGACAATGACAGGGGTGGAGGATGTTTGTAACACAATGGGGTGAGAAGATGAGAGAGGCGAAGGAAGATCAGGCCAGATCAATGATATCATGCAGAATAGACATATACACGCTATGTAGCTGAAAATTCTATTCATTAGTGAGAATGAAGGCCTCGCTCTGGTGCATCACTCCTCTTTCCATGAGGATAAGTTCTATCATCTTTACTTTTATTCAATTCAATACAATTTAAGCTCTGGATTTTGAAACAAACATTTTTCCCCCAATAGATCGTGGAACTAGGTTTTCTGGGGACAGCATTCAGCCACTCCTTCAGGGATATCAAAGAAAATGCAAGGTTACCTGATTAGGGAGATATGGTGCCCACAGGAAAATAATATTGTCTTTGGACAGAAGTGAAACTAAATGACACCAAGAGGAGATGCCAGAAGGACCTTGCTGTGTATTCCACCAACACCAAATGGAGCTGTAATACCCAATCAATTGCTCAGCCCCAGGAATTTGCTTCTCAAAGTGTCACATTCACGTGAATTATGTATTTCTTCTGTGCAGCTCTAAATGTCCAAGTACACTGTGCATGTAATAGCAAAGACTAACTCTGAGTTCCTTTGTAGAGCAGAAACAACTCATGATGCCAGTGTTTAAGACATCTTTCCAGCGGTTCCTTGGCCCATGAGCTCCAGCAATCCTCGAGCCTGGATGGTGGCATGCCTACAAACAGCGCATGAAAATCCTCACCCCAGATGCTTTTGAAACCTACCATTCTCACCCCGTTCTCAAAGGCTTGCCGGGTGAGGGGAGCTGGCCCATCCACAGTCTTGCCGTCATCGTCTGGGCCCCAGCTGGCACTGTAGATGTGCACATGCTGTGGATTGTAGCTGACAGACTTTGCTTCCACCATGTCTGTGACATCGCCATCCAGCATCCGCACACCTTCAAAGCAGGATGGAGAAAGCTTGTTACTGTCTCCAGGAGATGATAAATAAACAGTCCACTCAGACAATTTGGGGGAATAAAGAACACATTAAAAAACTGTAAAAATATTTATTTATTCAATTATAATGTGTATGAGTCTGTCTACATGGGTTTTTATGTGTGATGTGTGTGTAAGAACCCTCAGAGGTCAGGAGAGGGATGGAGACCCTTGGAACTAGAGTTACAAACAGTTGTGAGCTACCAGGTAGATTCTGGGAACAGTGTAAGAGCAGTAGGCATTCTTGATCATCTTCCCAGCCCCAAGGATTTTAGCCAACACTTCAGTGAGCATTTTCCTGGTAAAAAGGTACCACATACTTTGTACAAGTTATCCTATCTTGCTTGGGGAGACAAGAGGGTTCATTGTGGATGTAGGAGAAAAACTGTGTTCAAAAACTTTAAAAAATATTTCTATTCTTCTTCCAAGGTTCCAAATCTTGCTTTCCCTCCTACCTTTGTTAAATGAATATTTGAGAGAGATAATGAAGTAATCTACCATGCTAAATTTCTCTCCATTGAATAACTTGGGCTCATAGATGTGAAATCTTCTAACCTTAGCAAGTGTTTAAAAGTTGCAAAGTTGCCAAGCCAGCTTTGTCTCATTTCCCATTTACCCTATAATAGTAGACTGATGTAAATTTACTGTATTTCTTTGTTGCCAAGTTATTTACAACTCAAATAATGGATGAGAATGTGTTTAACCCTTCAAATAACTCTCAAGATGTTTTTAGTAATATTTAGTCATTAATCTTCATTTAAGTTCATGCCTATCAGACAGAAATCCAGCATTAACCCTATTTTTAAAAAATAGTCACTAATATCCTGAGAAATAAATGATCTGTTAAGTGCCAACTTTTCCTTTTCAGTCTGTGTATTGGCAACTTACAACAGCAATATAACTTCTAATCATTTAGTAAGACAAAACCTTGCTTACACTAAATATCACCACTGAGACTTGTATAATTTTAAATTTAAATTTTATCATTTATTTTTTTGTATGTGGGTGTTTTGCCTGCATGTATACCTTGTGCATCACATGTGTGCCTGGTACCAGAGGAAGCCAGAAGAGGGTGTCAGATCCCTTCGAACTGGAGTTACAGATGATTACTGAGCCACCATGTGGGTGTTGGGACTCACCCTTGGGTCCCTCAGAAGAGCAGCCAGTGGTCTTAACTATTTAGCCTTCTCTCCAGGCCCTTACTTTAAAAATTATACCTCCATAGGATAAATTTACTTTTAAGGGGAGCTTTGCTTTCCTGGGAGAATTTCAAGTTTTTAACTGGTTACTAAGACACTGATTTAAACAAAAGACTCCAGTGTAGGCTGTGAGGCCTAGGTTGATTACTGTCAGGAAAACAAAACAAAATTGTTTTTTGATGGAACAGTATCTCCCTGCTTTTCTTTAATATTTAACTTTAACTACAAAAATTTAAAAAGTCAAGAAAAATAGAAATAGTGAAGGCGAATATATATGGAGCTAGTATTCAACAACTATTAACGTTCTTGCCTATTGTCATCTAAAAAGCACATTTTCAGTCAGTCTGAAGCAATTTAAATACCATGATAGACCAGACATAAAGGTTATTATGCCCTTTGATATTATATGAAAAAACATGGAGATAAAGAACTAGGACATTCTAACAATATTGTCTCCCCCAAGTATTTCTGAAGATGTTGTAGATGTTGTACTTGATTGATATGCCTCAGTTAACATTAATTGGCTGCTTGATGAGATCAGTAAGGCTTACTTCTGAGTACACTTGCAATGGGCTCTCCTGCCATCACAGCAATGAGTGGAGAAAGACCAAGCAGCTTGATTTTGAGTTGTACTTGCTAGCAAACTGAGGGCTTGTGTGCACTAATAGGAGAATAAGCCTGCACAAGTGAGCAAGCCAAATCTTGAGCTCGTGTTTCTATTGCTGGTGATGTTGAGCTTGAATATAAGACTCTAGCTTCTGGAGTCTTTTAACTCTCCCGTGACTCTCCAGGGATCTTCCTGGCCTTGGCCTCAGACTAGAATGTTACTGGTCTACCCTGTTGTGAGGTGTACAGGCCTTGGGACTAAGCAGCTATTGGGGATCCTGGTTCATAGCCAGGAGATAGCCAGAGTGCTATGATCCAGCCTCCAATTATGTAAGATAATTTGGTAAATGTCCTTCTATAGTTATATATTAATATGTAAACAGGCTCACATATAGGTCCTTTATATATATGTGCATATGTATGCATGTGTATATTCTACTGGGTTTTTTCTTCTATAGGACTCTTAGTCATGCCACCGGTTCATGTTTTTTTTTTATATTTTAATTAACACACAAGTGTATATAATTCTGGGTTATTATAGAATATTTACACTTGGGATCTTTTGTTATTTTGTATTATGGTATTGGTGTGTGTACATATGTGGATGCAGGCATGTGTGTGTAGGTTAGAGGCCAATGTCAGGTGTCCTCAGTCCCTTTCTACTTTAATTTTGGGGGTAGGGCTTCTCAAGGAATCTAGAGATGACAGATTTGGCTGAGTAGGGTAGGTTGGTCTGCCAACACGCCCCAAGGATCCTATTGCCTCCACTTTCCCAGTACTAGGATTATAGTCACACAATCCTGTACCTGATTCTTTATGTGCATGTTGAGGATACAAAATGAGGTACTCAACTGTGGTGCCACGAGCACTTCGCTGAGTGAGCTATTTCTCTAGCACCCACTTTTAGATTCTGAGAGAAGATGAATATCATCAAGTCATGCAGAGACAAATACAGTGGGGAAAATTCCTGAAAATTATGGAATGGACACTGATCCTCTGAAAGGGAAGCAGATAACTCAGTGATGGTCTGCATGTCCTGGGTCCTGAACAGTCATTGCTTGTTTTCAGTTATTGTGGATATTTAAAGCTCCTATGCACTCTTCCAGAACAAAGGCAGACATATACTACTTCGCCTTGTTAAGCTGTACTTGGAAGCATCCTCCTGCACCTCTAAATTAAACACTAGAACTGCCCCCAATTAAGCATTTAAGAGTGTCCAGGTGAGAACATGAGAGCATCAGAACATTACCTAAACTTGGGTTGTCTGTAATGCAATTTATGTCTGCTAAGTGACCCTTAGAAGGTCATGAGGTATTTTTTGTTTTGACTGAAAAAGCATAAAGAACTTCATAATTTAGTCAAGTTTAAAGATTAACAGTTCCTTCTTCTTTTCTTATTATATAAACTTTATGCTTTGGGTCTGAGGAGTTAAATTGTCATTCAGAATATTCTTATTTGGGACGTTTTTTGAGTTATCACCATACATTTACCTTTTTAAGGAAGTATAGTTAAGCTTGATCAGCAGCTATGAGGGAGCTCAGAGTTTATTCAGTTCTTCCCTCAGGGTCAGTCAGAGTGCTGGGCCAGTCTTTATTTCTGGGAATGTAATCAAATCACAGCAATAGAGGACACAAGCTCATATGTGAGAGGTGACTGTTGAGGTACCTTGAATATGATTGTCCTGGGTGAACGGGGGGGCGCTCCATCATTCTTATCACACCTCAGGAAGAGCCTCTGTCTTTATCACAGTGGATGCTCCTGAGTGCAGCTATTTATTGGGCAACAAGCTGTCAAGCCCAGAAGTGAAGGATGAAAGGAAGACAATAAAGCACTGACAGTCAAGCAAATCTCAGGAACCTGCTTTAAGCGCAGCTCCACCATGGTTCCTCCAACTATAGCTTTGTTTTTGCCAAAATCAGCGACCTTTGGTCAACTGGGGCCCAAAAATATGACATGGGGAATTCTAGAAATAAACAATTCATGTTTCAAGCAATCTTTCTTAATATATTTCTTTGTACTGGTTTCATTTAATTGGTTATTTAATTGGTTATCATTAGCTTCTCCCTGATGGGGGAAGTCCTTCTGTGTATATGTTGATGAATAAAGCGCTGTTGGCCAATAGTGAAGCAAGATAGGTGAGACTAGGAGACACAGAGGATTCTGGGACATGTAGTCAAGTGTAGAGAGTCATTGCCATGTGATCATGGGGAGAGGACATATGAGGCTGCATCCTCGGTAAGATAAGACCATATATATAAATAACTATAGGTTAATATATAGGTAATTATAGGTTAATAATTAAGTCAGAGCTAGCCATTAAGAAACAAAGCAAACAGCCAACAGCTTCATAATTAATATAGTGTTTTGTTTGTTATTTGGGAGCTAAAGTGGTGATGGGACCCAGGCAGCTGGTAGGAAGACTAAACCTTACTTCTCACTATGCTCAGTCTGTCTGATAAATAACCACAGGCATTTGCAAGACAAAACAAAGTTATCTACATCTACGGAGGGCTGGGAACTGTCTGCCTGATGCAGTCACTGGGAGTCTTGGATGAGGAGTGATTATTACAATCTAAATGCTTCACACTGGTATTGTGGTTAAGAATGGCACTTTTTAGTTTGAGATGAACTATTTGGTAGCAAATAGGGTATTGGAACAATGTACTCATCTGGCTGCTCTGCTGAAGTTTGTATTTCTGACACCCTTTAGTCTACTTAGGGGACATCCTCAGGTCTAATGATGAAGTCACTAGGGTCTATTAGAATGCTGTCTTCCCATTTGTGTGTGGCTGAGGCAATCATCTGTTGCTTACAACGATGATTACAAGTGGCAAAGTTGGAGTCCACGTTGGCTAGATCTTTATAATAAACATACCTGTGCCTGAGTTGAGTATAGGTGAGCAATGTATACTGCCCAAGGTTATTTAGAAGAACTATGGTTGTGACATGCTGGGGGATCTTGTAGCAAGTGTCCATCACTGTACTGAATATCATCTTTCACATGGTTCCTATGTAGTCAGGAGAAGTTCAGCTCTGTCATGCGTAGACATGCCCACCACCAGTTTGAAAAGGATTCTGAAAAGCAGTCAACTAAGAGCTTCCTGGCTCCTGTGTGTATCCTTGGAAGTATCCCATACCTCCAATCTTGGCATTGAAAGCGATTCCAACGGTGCAGTGAGAGTTGTTTGCGGCGGCTGCCACTTCTCCAGCACAACGGGTCCCATGCCTGCAGTAGAACAGACACAGTTTCTAAAGTAAGACACTCTGTTCTCACCAGTTCTATGTGTCACAGCCAAAGCGGAGAAGAAAGTATCCAGCTGTGGGTGTTTCGAGAGCTTCCTACCCAAGTAGAACTCACTTGTCTGTGGCAAATTATTTAGCAATCCATCATGTGATTTTGAGTTGTATTTTGAAGATATTTATTTTTTGGTATACTTTAGGGCAGAAAATCACCCTAAAGGTTGAAACTGAACCGTATGACTTGTCGGGGACCATTTTGCTTGTACTCTCTAATAAGCCACAGGGCACACATGGCTATTAGATGCCTAATACATGACTACAGAAATATCATCTCAAGTTTTCATTTTATTTAATTCTGAATAAACTTAAAGACTAATTCTTGGTTTGGGTATAAGACATACTACAAATATGGATATAAAAGAATGCTCTTTTTAACTTCATTATTTAGTTTTCTGAGAATTTTCGTATATGAGAACTATATTTACATTTTCTCAATTTCTACTCTCTTCTCTCTTCCCCCAACTTCTGTGTCCCCTCAACTTGCTCTCAAGTACATGATCTTTTCTTTTATAATTATAATTGTCTGCCTTATAAACTGTACACTTAAATACAGTCCAAGTAATTCCTTTGAAAATTTATTATCTAAACTGCAATATTCTATCAAATTGCAAAGATATTGCATAAAATATATATCTTGATAATTGCTTTAAACCAATTGTGTGTAAAATATTGAGGCATGTCAAGACTTAGTTCATTTATTCCTTTTCTTTTTCTTATGATTTTTTAAAATGTGGTCATTAGAAAAGAAGGTTTGGGTTAAATTTTTTTTATAAGAATTCCCTGTTGGGGGACTGATCCAGATTCCATGAATGTAGTCTTAGTGAGGAGGCCACAGAAATCACTGGGGCCTTGGGTTGTAGATCAGTGTTTACCATGGTTTATGAATGATCTTTGGGAGCCCATTCCAAATAGAGGGATGCTCTCTCAGCCTGGAAACATTGGGAAGGGCCTAAGTCCTGCCCTGGATGAAATGACAGACTTTAGAGATCTCTCCAAGGAGGGCATCACCCTCTCTGGGGAATGATGTGGGGATTGGATGGGGGAGCTGGGAGGGCTGGGAGGGCTGGGAGAGGGAGCTGGGATTGACATGTGAAGCATTCATGTTTCTAATTTAAATATAAATCATTACAAAAAGAATTCCCTGTTGCTTTTTTACCACAGCAATGCTCCTTAGAAATACCTTCTGGCTGAAACAAAACAGTTGTTTGGAAAAAAATGATACAACAAGAGATAGTCACACAGAGTGAATCAAGTTAGCCTCAAAAAGGCAAATATTTCATGCATTTGTTTGTGGGTGCTAGATAATATTTGCCTGAATAAACCCATGCATATGTATCTGACATGAGAATAGAAGGGGACTTAAGGGAGGAAAGGAAGGTGCATGGAGAAAATATGCTCAAAATACATTATATACCTGAATAAAAGTGTCCTTATAAGGCCCAGAAATGTGCGCAATGAATATACTATGCCAATTAAAAACAAACAAAAGCCTTCTGGCTGAAAGACCTTCCACCACCTTGTCTGGAGTCAGCAGAAGAGGTTCAAGTATAAAGAACAGATTGTTCAGAAGTCATGGCTTAGAACATATATCACGGCTTAGAGTGTAGTATTGAGACAATTGCTACATCACCACTGAGCCTGGAGGAAAACCACCAAAATAGGACTAATGCCTGCCATGGCTTAGGAAGAGAGGTGACAACTCTCTCTATGGTGTGAGTGTGATGTCTGGTGCCCATTCCTGCCTTCATTGTAGGGATGAGAACACCTAGAGGCATTTAAGATTTGAGGACCTCTGTGGGAAGAGAAGACAGCCCCCAAGTTACCAGCTCTCGGTCTTGGACATTCCACTCCACTGTTCTTTCCCCTTTTATTAATCTGCTATGGCCTACTTGTCATGAGATATAATGAGTGCCTCTCCAACTGTAAACAACTTATAGGCACTGAGGTATGTTTGCTAAAAGATATTCCATACTATTCTTTTCATTTAGTACATATTTCTACACAAATATTAATCTAGATGTATTAGTGGCTACTATTACACTGGATTATTCTTCATATGGTAGTATAAATAACGTGTGATTTTTATACTTATTTGGCTATATGTAAACCCATATACACTTACAAATTCTTTTAATATATCTTTCATCCCCAGACTGTTATTCAGGTTTTTACTAATATAAACAAGAATGTGATCAGCAATTTTGAGCTCATATATATATATGCCTATATATATGTGTGTGTGTATAATTTAGTAATTTATTAACTGAAGATAAGTTACAAGAAGTAGAATTACTGGACGGAAGAGTACAGTGGACAGAAACAGATAATAACCTGGAAAAATGTAACTAAAGTATATGAAAACAACATGTCTTTAACATTATTGGTGTAGGGTTGTAAAGATGGCTCAGTTGGTAAATGGCTTATATTGCAATCACAAAGACCTGAGCTCTTCCTCAGTGCCTATGTAAAAAAGTCAATGACAGTAGCATATACTTGTGAGGCAGATCCCTGGAGTTTGCTAACCAGCCATTCTAGATGAATCCATACATTCTTCATCCAATGAGAGATTGTCTCAAAACAATAATACACACACACCATACATTCATACATATACCACAAACACTGTACATATATCACACACACCATATATATAGACTACGCACACACATACACACATACACACATACACACACACACACACACACACACACACACTCCTAAATGCCAGTATGTCTACAGTAGTATACATGTAATGTATATACCAGAGAGAAAGTGGGAGAAAAAGGGGAGGGAGAGACAATAAGCAAAGCTGAACATAATCATGAAAAATGGAAAAAATATTTGTAGAAGCCCTTGTGTATGAGTTTTTCAATCTCTTATCTGTGCTCAGATGACATAAAAAGTATCTAATTTTTAGTTCTTGGCCTTGACTACATTTGCCGTGGAACATCAGTGGAACTACTCATTCAGTACTTAGGCTTGTTTTATGAACAGATTTTTCTGAAGCACTGGTTCAAAGTTCTCCCTGCCTTTCCTATTATATCTATTGCAAAAATACAAATTAGAGAAGTGTTGTTCACTGAAGGAATTTTAGGCTGTCACACCCAGTGTTTAATTTTGGATGGACTCATAGTTATTCTTCCATGCTAATATATTATTGTGGGGAATGTGTTTGTGTGTGTGTGTGTGTGTGTGTGTGTGTGTGTGTGTGTGTGTGTGTGTGTTTGGGAATATTTGTGCCACAGGACATGTGCAGAGGTTAGAGACATTCGTGAACTTGCTTTTGTTCATCTACCTTTACACAGACTTCTGGATTCTAACTGAGGTTTACTGTCTTCTGCATCAAGTCTGTTTACTTGCTGAGCTATTGTATAGGTCTGGGTTATATCATGTTAATTATTAGAAAAACTTTCAAGTATTAAAGAACAATTATTTCTTGTGTGCATCCCAAACACAACTGATAATTTTCCCTTGAGCTCAGCAATTGTTAAGTTAGAGTGTTCATTAGGCATGTGCTCAATAGTACATCAAGTTATAAGTTATTCTTACAATGACAGCTCAGGCTAGAGAGTATAGGCAGCAAAGACAACCCTGTCCATTGAGGGTGGGAGTGCAAACTTGAGGCACTATTTTAAGCAAAATAAAACCAAGATATCTTTAACTAGGGGGAAGCCCATTTAGTGTAATTGCTTATTGACACATTCATGTCCAGTTCTTTTATTTTTTATTGTGTTAGAGTTCATGTACCATGTGGTAGGTAATCCTATGAATTCAGTCATTGAAACTGAACAACAGGCTATGTAAAATCATTAATACCATTTTCTTCTTTTCACAAACAGCATATACTGTAGAGTGTCTTAGTTGGGCTGCCCATGTCTCATCCCCATATCATGAGATACACATAATGAGAGTCACTCTTTGGATTTTTTTAACCCTAGAAATTACATAGAGACATAAGCACATTCTTTGCCTTAACCCCACCCCCTTGCAATCTGTACTCTCCTTTGGCATATTTGATATTCAGCTCAGAATTTTTTGTTGGCTCCAGAAAAATGACTTGTTAGTGAAAGCAAGTAGGCCATCCAGGGATTCTGGACTACCACAACCTCACACATGTCAGTCCACAGTCTCCCACTGGCTACTGTTTCTGGCAGGAAGTCACTGGTTATGTGATCTCTTTCTGCAAACTTTGCAGATTTTTCTGAGAAATATCTTAGAAAATATTCTGTAGAATTCTTATACTGGCAATGCTGAATTCTGCAGAGTTCCTAGTTATTGTCTCTAAGAGCTGTCTTCTCACCCGTCTCGTGACTTTCCCCTTTTTTTAGGGTCGATGAATTCTCTCTCTCTCTCTCTCTCTCTCTCTCTCTCTACTCTCTCTCTCTCTCTCTCTCTCTCTCTCTCTCTCTCTCTCTCTCTGCTAACCTTTGAGACCTCACAGTTCTCTCTTTACATATTGCATCCTGTATAAGTCTGTCCCTTTTCTATCCCAACTATTTTATCTTCATCCATGCCAAATCTACTATTTAATCCATTCAAGGTGCATTCCCTTCAATTTCTGTTTTACTTTTTAAAGTTCATTTTACTCTTTAAAATAGAACCTGCTGAGTTGATTCTGATAATCTTTTCTTAACACCTTCTGATATCCCTTTCTTTACACATGTAAATTAAATACAAGAATTATAAAATACAAAAATCCAATTAAAGCATGCTTGTTGCTAAATGATTTTTAGGGTGCCATTTTCCAAATGTTGTTCCAGGGATGGGGTCATATTGTTTGCACTTTTATCTTTATGCTTTCTCTGGGGCTCATGGGGAAAGCTCACTCCTCCAAAGAAAATTTTAATCTCTTTCTGCGGCTATTTGGTGACCAACCAACACAAGCACATGAATTATAGATCCAAATCTAAGTTCTGGTTTTTCTTT